CCCTCCCGTTGAATTGCACTTGTGCCGCGAGTTCCTTCGCTCGAGCGGACTTTGCGGGCCGACGATTTTCTAATCCCGTCAGCGCGGCGGAATCGTGTCCCTTCTCTCTTCTTTTCTCTCTGGGACGGTAATAAAAATCGCGAGAGGAAAGATATCGACATGGAAAAACGACAGGCCGTAAACTTGACGTTGAACAAGATGCCCGGGGCAAACGGGTGAGCGAGCGATTGATGAGGACTCGCAGATCGCCCCGGCAATTTATATTCTTTTTTCAAATTGTTATTTGGAGAACGGCGACCTCGATGGGGCGAATTCGAGGGATGGACAGCCCGCCCGTCCATCAGCTTCCGACGTTTATATCTCCTTCAGCGACAGACCCGCTCGTCGTAATTCATGTCCCCTTGTTTTCTTCGAGATTTCCGCGGCGACAGTTTACAGTTTCGTCCCTCGTGTCTCCGCCCGATGAGAAACAGCGCAGCTTGTATCGCGTTGTATCGCCTGGCGAGTTGCAAAGTTTCCACTTTCGGGGGATCGCGTTAATTCATCGTCCCGCGATGCGCCAATCTCGCGGTTGAACCGTACTAGATGGCTATCGGTTTGTCCATCTGGTTTCGGAAACTAGTCAAGCGGCAGAGGCAGCAACTCGATTCGGTCGCTCGATAGTTGCAGCGTCCCGTTTTCAGCGGCGATTTCCTTACTCAAATGCTTACTCGCAACTGTTTAAAAAGTCCAACGTGACTTCGATAATACCCGACTTTTGTCTTTCGACGGCTAATGCAGGGTCAGCCGGCAGACTGTGAGTTTCCAAAACTGGAAAGTCCGACGGTGGCGCGAGAGCACACGCGGTGCCGCGTTTCGTCGACGTTTTATGGAGCTGGTGTGCAAACTTCCGGTAGGAGGGTATGGGCGTGTGCAAGCCGGTGCCTCTCCGAAATAAGATAAGAGCGAATTTCGCTGGGCTGGCTACACTTCCCGGAGAAGCGTTCGTTCGTTCGTTGATAGCGAGAGCAGTTGCAAACGCGTGATTTCGCTCGGCAACGAGAATTAACGCTGACAAATAACGTGGGTTGCGTTCGAGCTTTAAAACGCTCGTGTGCAAAGCGTAATGCATCGCCTTGGCTTGAACTGGCTAATACGACGGTTTTCATGAAACGTCGATCGTGATGGATAGCAGCTGACACGAAATAAAGTGGATTTATTTAAAAAAAAAAAAAAAAAAAAAAAGAACAAAACACAAAAAGAAAACGATAAAACGAAATGCAAAAAAAAACAAAAACGGTTATTTAACATATTCCGTGCTGACGCGCTTCATATTCAAAGTACGGATACTATCGATCGGTGCGAGCTACCGCTGCCGTTTTATCGGTTATTTATACATGTTTTCATTTGTTTGCTTACGTCACTAGTTTATTTTGTTTATGCCCTATCACGTTTATTTATATCCTCGTTGGCCAAGGCTTTGCAGCCAACGAGGAAGTTGCAGCGTGTACGAGAACTTTCGGTCGGCGAGCTTTCGACCGAAATCACTGGGTTTCATTCGAAAATGGCAATTCTAATTCCTATTAATGTTATTTACTCCTCGGCACAGCGTGATACGAGCGATTCCATTTGATCGGATTACACGGCAATTACGCGTTAATCGAGCAGGTGTGTCGTGTCGAGCCGGCTTTTTGCAAGTTTTTTGCAAACGTCACACCCTGTCGGGGATGAAAAACAACGCACGATTTTTCGACGACGATTTCACGATTTTCAAGCCTGCGGTAGACGATCCTTACTCCTGTCACATCGGGACAGGATCGATCGCATCGCACCGTGCGGGTAATTTAATTCGGCCACATTGATGAATGAACGGCCGCGAGTCGTAAGACTCGAAGCGAATTAGGCGATTGATTTTGAATTGTGTACGCGCCGTCTGCCAGCGAGCGGTAACACGCTCGCTGCAAATTGGATGACAAATTAAATGAATCGCGTCATGGCACGAACGGCATTAATTGTCGACTATTTAGACCTTTTTTTGTCAAACACGTGTGGCCGAAATGTGTACCGGCTCGCAGAAATTTATGTACACGTATTTTCCGCGACGGAGAAGTTGCGCAGCAGCATCGATTAAAGGAGTGCTACTCCATCATTGTTCATCAGCCATGTGTTATTACCCTGCGAGC